CCGGCCCCACGGGCTCGGCAGGAGGGGTGCCCGCCGCCCCCGCCCGGCCCCGCGGCTCGGGGGTCCCGGCCCCGCGGGAAGCCGGGGGCGCTGGAGCCGTAGCGCTGCGTCCCCCTCGGAGCGGCGGCGGGCCGCCGAGGAGCTGGGGCCCCGGCCATCCCCCGCTCTCGGGCAGGTAACCGGCGGCGGGGACAGGGCCGGGGCACGGCGGGCGCCGGGGACCCCGCGTGCCCCCGCGGGGAGGCTGCGGGACCGGGGAACAGCTGGGCGGCTCCCCACATCTGGAGCTGGGCGGCCGAGCGGGGAATAATCCGGAGGATTATGCGCGCGGGCGCGGCGCCCCCCCCCCTTCGCCTGCCCTGCATATCCCCAGATATTCCATAAAAACCTCAAATCCCCGGTGGCAGCCCCGCGGTCTGCGCCAGCCGGCCCCCCCCGGGCCAGGCATGTCCTGCGGCGCGGGGGCAGCCCCCAGCCATGGGCAACTGCACCAAGACCCCTGAGCGGCGGCTCCCCAAGGTACGGCCGGGCCGGGCCGGCCCGTAGGGGCAGCAGGAGGAGGAGGAGGAGGGGGGGTCCCAGCGCGGCCCCCCCGTGCCGCTGACGCCCGCTGTGCCCGCAGGACGGGAAGCCGCGCTCTGGCGTCCCGGGCTCCGGCGGGGGGGACCCGGAGGATGTGCTGGACTCGGCGCAGACCCCCACTCTGCAGGGATACTCGGTGCTGCAGGGGCTGGTGGGGCCGGCCTGCATCTTCCTGCGGCAGAGCATCGCCATCACCCAGCGGGTATGTGCCTGTCTCCTCCCCGCGCCGCCCGTGCCCCCGGGGGGGTGAGGGCAGGATCCCTGCGGGATCCCTGGGAGTAGGACCCCTCCTTCGGCTCTTCCCGCTTTCTCTCCCCCAGGACCGGGAGCTGCGGCCCGAGGAGATTGAAGGTAAGGTGCCGGGGAGTGGGTCCCTCCCCGGGGGGTGGGTGGCGGTGCGGGGGGGCCGGCGGTGACGCTGTGGTGTCCCCAGAGCTGAAGCACGCGTTCCAGGAGTTCGACAAGGACCACGACGGCTACATCAGCTACAAGGACCTGGGCGAGTGCATGCGGACCATGGGCTATATGCCCACGGAGATGGAGCTCATCGAGCTGTCACAGCAGATCAGTACGTGGGGGGGCACGGGGCGTCCCCAACAATCCCTGCTCCCCCCCCAGCACCCTCCTGACACCCCCCCTCCCACCACAGCCGGGGGCAAGGTGGATTTCGACGATTTCGTGGAGCTGATGGGCCCCAAGATGCTGGCGGAGACGGCGGATATGATCGGGATCAAGGAGCTGCGTGATGCCTTCCGTGAGGTGCGGTGAGGCGAGGGGCAGGGGGGGCGGCCCGACTGGCAGCCGGCTGCCGGCCGAGGGCAGCGGTGGCACCGTGCCCTGTGCCGCAGTTCGACACCAACGGGGACGGGCAGATCAGCATGGCGGAGCTGCGGGAGGCCATGCGCAAGCTGCTGGGGCAGCAGCTCAACTACCGCGAGGTGGACGAGATCCTCAAGGATGTGGATCTCAACGGCGACGGCCTGGTGGACTTTGAAGGTAGTGCATGGCCAGGGGCCGGGGGGGGGGGGGTGTCCCGGGGTTGTCTGCGATGTTCCTCGCGTGCTTTCCCGCCGGCAGAGTTCGTGCGGATGATGTCGCGCTGAGGGCGGTGTGTGCCAACGTGGGACCCGGGCCCCCCCGTGCCTTACGACGAGGAGGGGGCTGTGCAGGGACCCCCGGCTGCAGGGGCCGGGGCGGTGCCGCCCCAGCCTGGGGTGAGGTCGAGCGCCGGGGCTGCTCTGATGCCGAGCTGCGACTGCGGCAGGAGGCGCCGGGGCCCAGGCCGGGACCCTTTTCGGCACAGACTCGGCCGAGCTTCGGCCACTCTCGCTCTCATCTCTGCTCTCTCCCTCTATCATCCCCCTCCCTCCCCGACCTCACCCCAAAAGTCAGACCATCACAGTCTCCTCTACTCCAGCTGTACTCCCTCCTTCTGCTCGTCCCTACACCCTCTGTTCCCACCCTGTATCCCACACTGAGCCCCTTAGGCTCCCCCCACGCTGTGTTTAATGTTGACCCCACAGCACAACCCCCTCCATCACCATGGTTTGAGCTCAGACCTACCCCTAACCTGCCTAATATCCCCAGTGCAGGGGACGCTCCTGGGGGCCTCAGTGCCCCACCAGGACCCCCTCAAGGAGAGAAACCGGGAATCAGGTGTTCCCAGGCGGAGGGGGCTCGGTGTGCTGCAGGCAGGGCTGGCACGGGTGCCCTTCCTCACCCTGGCTGCAGTTTTGGGGTCAATTCTGCCCTTTGAAAATGAAAAAAACCTCTCTCTGCACACTTCTGTGTTGTGTTTTATGTCGAGTTTCTGTAGGATTTATTCGTGACCTCACCACTCACAGGTGTCCCCCAATACCCAAGACCTGTGTCTCACAGGAGACCTCGGGGACCTGTGCTGGCCCGGGTCTGGGGGGGCTGTGCGGGGTCCCTGCACAGCGGGAGGCCGGTGGGACAGGTCAGAGGGACACCCTGGAATGTGCGACGGGCTTCACTCCCAGGATCCAGGAAAGGGTTCCCCCCCAGGGTTCACTCTCGGGATCAGGGCTGGGGTTCACTCTCGGGGTTCACTCCCGGGATCAGGGCTGGGGTTCCCCCCCAGGGTTCACTCCCGGGATCAGGGCCGGGGTTCCCCCTGGGATCAAGGCTGGGGTTCACTCTCGGGGTTCACTCCCGGGATCAGGGCCGGGGTTCCCCCTGGGATCAAGGCTGGGGTTCACTCTCGGGGTTCACTCCCGGGATCAGGGCCGGGGTTCCCCCTGGGATCAAGGTTGGGGTTCACTCCCGGGGTTCACTCTCAGGGTCCGCTCCCGGTTCCCCCCACCCCGGGGCGGTGCCGCCGGTCACGTGACCGGGAAGGGGGCGGGGCCGACGCCCGGGTGTCTCCACGGCGACGGGCGCGCGCGCGGGCGCGAGCGGCGGGCGCGGCGACGTCAGGGCGTGTGACGGGCGACGCGCGTGCGTCATCACCGCGAGCGGCGGCGGTGGCGGCGGGGGAAGAGCCCCGGGTCGGGCCGGGCCGGGCCAGCGCAGCGCCACCGGGAACCGGGGCCGCCGCGCTCCGCTCCGGTCCCCGGCGTCCCGCCGGGCCGAGCGGGGCCGAGCTGAGCTGAAGAGAGGCGGACAGCGGCGCTACCACCGGCGGGGCGAGCGCGGGGGCCGCACGCCGACCCCCGCCGCGGGGCTCCAGGCACCCGGGAGCGGCGGGCGGCCGTCGGGGATGTCCTACAAGCCCATCGCTCCCGCCCCCGCCACCCCCGGAGCCGCCAGCGCCAGCCCCGCCCCGCCGGGGCCCGGGGCGCCGTCCGCCGGTGAGAGACCCCCCGGTAACCGCGGGGGGACGGGGGCGACCGGTGCCGCCGGGGGACACCGGGGAAGGGCGGGGCGGAGGCGCGGTGCGGGGGGTGCCGGGGCAGGGGGCTGCGGCCGTGACCCTCCGTCTCCTGCAGCCACGAGTGTCCCGTCGCCCTCCGGCTCCGTGCCCGGCGCCGCCGCCCCTTTCCGGCCGCTCTTCAATGACTTCGGGCCGCCGTCCATGGGTTACGTGCAGGTGAGGCGCGGGGCCGAGGGCGGCGGGGCCGGGGGCGGCGGCGGGGGCGGCCCCCAGCGCCACCGTGCCTCCGTGTGCCCCCGTTCCCGCAGGCCATGAAGCCCCCCGGGGCGCAGGGCTCGCAGAGCACCTACACCGACCTGCTCTCGGTCATCGAGGAGATGGGCAAGGAGATCCGGCCCACCTACGCCGGCAGCAAGAGCGCCATGGAGCGGCTGAAGCGGGGTACGGGCGGCGGCGGCGGCGGCGGGACGGGGCGGCCCCCGGTGCTGCGCCCCCGCGGGGCTTCCCCAGCCCCGCTGCGGGGGGACCGGAGGGTGATGTGGGGTGTCCCTGTGCTTCTCCCCGCAGGGATCATCCACGCCCGGGCGCTGGTCAGGGAGTGCCTGGCAGAGACAGAGCGAAACGCCCGCACGTAACGGCAGCTGCCGCCCGGGACCCCCCGGGACCCCCGGTGGCGGCGGGGGGGGCCGCCGTGCTGCCCGCGCCTCCCCCTCCCCGCGCTCTCCGCTCTTTATAAATGCCTGTTTTTATAAATAAAGGACAATGTTGGGACTTGGACTCGGTGTGTCCCCCTTCAGGGGGGGTCGCGGTGGGGACACGGGGTGGAGGGGGGGGCTGGGGCGGGTCACCGGGGGGGGGGTTGGAGCTGCGCCGAGTGGGTATCCCGGAGCTCAAAGGCGCGGGAATGCTCAAACCTCTGTTTTAAAACTTAAAAAGTGGCTTTTTTTAATAAAACCTCCCGTTTTCTCCGGGCGCGGCGTGTGGGGGGGGTGGCGGCTGTGCCGGTGCACGCGGAGCGCCCGTGAACGGCTCTCGCCGCCTCCCGCTGTCTGACGTCACGGGGCCCCCCCTCCCTGCCTACGTCACGGCCGTTGCCGTGAGAACGGGCTGTGATGTCACGATCCGAGGGACCGGTGCGGAGCGGCGCAGGTTCGGCGGGGCCGCGGCCGGGGGCGGCGGGGCCGGGGGTGGGCACCGGGCGGGGGGGGGGGGGGGGGGGGGGTTGCCATGGCAACGGGGAGGGCGCCCGAGCCGGGCCGAAGCCGAGCCGAGCGGTGCCGAAGTGAGCCGAACCCGGACCCGAGCGGTGCCGAACCGAGCCGAACCCGCGGCCGAACCCGGGCCCGAGCGGTTCCGAAGCAGTGCCGAACCGGCCCGAGCGGTTCCCGAGCGGTGCTGAAGCGGTGCTGAGCCGGCCCGAGCTGTGCCGAGCGGTTCCGAAGTGGTTCCGAACCGGCCCGAGCGGTTCCG